TGTAAATTTTCGCTGGTGATTCTATTAATTTGACTTTAATAGATATTTTTATATTCGAGATAATTCACGAAAAGACGTAATGGATTTCTCTATTACACGTGGTAAATAATCGAAGAAGATTATTCACTGCGAAAACACTCGCAGAGAGATCCTCCTGCGAATCGCTTCAAAATTCGACGACCTGAACTGACCTATATAACGATAGGTAAACATATGTCTTTACATATGTGATATATGTACATATGTGATATATACGGGATGTTTAAGTTTCCATTTATTTCGTCACAATCAGGACACTTTATCTCCTCATGTCTGCACAAAGTCTACTAAGTATTTGGATAAATATTACATACTTTGTTATTAAATATCCAAGCAAATATTTTTTTTATTAAATTAAAATATATTTAACGACGTGAATGACTTCGCGAAAGTGAGATTTAAGATATGGATTTATTAAGATATATTTACTTCTCTTTCGACATGCTCTATATACACGCAAAATGCAGTTCCATCCTTTGAAGTTTGTATACTAATGCATATGCTTGTATATAAGATAGTAGACATATAATCGACATGCTACCTAAATATATATATATCGCTGCATCTGTCAAACTTCATTTCCCTTTTATATGGCTTTTATTTTTAACTTCTAAGAATACTTTCCTCTGGCTATTTCATACACAAAGCGACATCTACTTACAAATCCGTGGATTTCTCACCATGAAAATCGTTTCTGTATCCGCACGATTTACTTATCTTTTATTTTTATAAATAAATTCTTTGTCAAAAGGGAGAAATATTTACATAAACGATATTTAAATTTTCAATAAAATTGATAAAATCTATATTTGAACAATAAATCACAGCAAAACGGAAACTATAATTACATCAAATATATATATATATATATATATATATATATTTTGTTATAATTTTTTTGCATTAAAAATGATGGACAATAAATTTGAAACTCATGTATTATAATCATATTAGTATAACAATAGAAAAACATTTTACAGGATATTAAATTCTTGGCAAGAAAGTCGGCACAGGAAAGTAACATTTATGCCTTTTTTCCTTTACGTAATATAAATATTTTAATGTAATAATGAATGATAGAACCCTTTTATCAAATTTTTTTTTTATTCTTCTCCGTACTTATTTTTCAATGATGTTATAACATTGTAATTTATTGTCTAAAAAATGTTCACAACAGGGATAACAATAATGTATATTTTATATATCGCAGCTTTGCAAATCTTAAAATAAATCAAGAAATTTCTCATTATCTTTGTACCTGAAAGGAAGGGTGGAAAATTAAAAAAGAGAATAGAGTTAAGAATAGCGTTCGTTTTTATTCCTTAGGTCAGGAACGCGCATCAACATTGATACAATTGTATACGAACATATGGAACTTATATATTGTAATTGCTGCGCTCAATAGACCACATTAAATTTAAAATGCTTAAAAATCACGTAAAACATTTTAAGTTATTTCAAAAAAAAAAGAAACAAACAATTCTTCAAATATCAGTCGCTACGATCCATTATTATAATAAAATAAGACCGTACACAAAAAATTAGACACATTAAAGTTTTGAAAATTAGACAATTAAAGTTTTGACACATTCTTTTTCTTCGAAAAACAAAAAATTACAAATTATAATTAAGAGAATACTTGAAAATAATTTTGTATCATGATTATTATGCGCGAATGCATATCTAAAATTATTCGAGTAATCTCTGTGTGAAACATCCGTCGCGTTTAAATGCAGAGAAATGATGTGCGCGTGAACTGGTTAAGACGACATGACACAATTTTTGATTAATCTTCACGATTTCTTACGACATTATGGCACTAGTCGTAACTCGCTGAGCGCAGGTTTCGCTCGACAAAAAAATAATAAGCGCGCTTTCGCCCGAACGAGCCACGTCCCATACAGCACAACAAGATTGCAGCAGCATTGTGGCAACATTTCGTTGCAATATTACAACATTGCATAAACATTGTGAAATGTTGCAGCAATCTTGCTGCAAGGTTGCAGCAATGGTAAAATTTCAGAAACATTGTTCTATAACATTGCAGCAATAATGCAAGAAAATATATATGTAATATTACTATTGGATTATTGGAAATGTACCAAATACATGAGCGGACTGAATGGTCTGTACCTAATATTTTTTGCGTGAATTTTATTTTCATAATGTTTCTGAAATGTTGCTGCAACGTTGTTTCAATTATATTGCAAATTCATACCTATATAATATTTCTGCAATATTGCTATGCAATGTACAATATTGCAATGTTATTGCAATATTGCTGCAAACTGGTGTGCTGTATTGGGGTTCTTCTTTCTTTCCGTCGCGGTTGTTTTATCTACAAATTTTCAGTACTGATTCGAATGCAATTATCTATATGAACTAAGGGTGCGTGCGAAATAGTATTTGAATCCGAAATCGCCAATCGTGAAATCGATCCAAACAATCGCTACATCGAAACAACTGATTTCGATATCAGTACGTGTGAATTCGGTTCAATCGTTCCACCTAAAACTATGATTTCGAAATTGGCACATAAAGTCGGGTCAATATATGCATTAAACATGTGTGCACTGAATGCACACTCCGAGTTCAATATTGATCTTTCCGACATTATGAGCCGAGTAATGACTTGGATTTCGAAATGAGTTACATAGAACGATATATACGGTTCGACAAAAATTAACTTTTTTTTTCCCTAAATCCAAGATAGAGAGCAATTAAATTCTGTAGTTTTTTTTATATTGAACACAATTTCAGCTTGCAAAATATTCTCTCGCATCACAGTTTTAAATAATTTCAGAATAGAATTGTAAAAAAGGTAATTTTAATGACTTTATATATTACAGATACATATAGCATTACTACAAGTTTTATTCTATTGAAATTCTAAATAGATTGCATCAGAATGTTTGGATTTTAAAAAGATTAAATTTTAAAATTAATAAGTTTTTATTAATTAAATACTTTTAAAATTTATAATCTTAATATTTATAATATTAAATATTTTTTAATGTTATAAGATTTTTTTCATTAAACTTATTGCGTCTATTATAAGAAAATTATAAATTATCACTATAAATAAGATCACAGATCTATCAAATATCTTTTAATTTTACATTTATTCAAAAATTGTAAGAAATCTTTACGAAATAAAGATGACATAACGTGCGATGTTAAAAATTTCGAATACAATAACAGCTCCAATGTAAAGAGGATCGTAGAATTAAATAATTTTCTTGCGATATAGTACATAAAGACTTAGTGAATCACGAGAATTTTATTAATTTGAATTTTTAGAAAATATTTTTTAGAAAATTTTAACAATATTCACATTCAATTTTAAACGAAAAATACATTTTGTCATATATATATACATCACATAATTTAAAGTATAATAAAAGTTGGAGATAAAGAATGGTAAAAGGTTTTTTTATAATTGAAATCTCCAATTTCTTAAAACTGTAACGTGATTTCTGCGGTATAAACATCGTATTAAACATGAAAGAAATGGTAAAAAGTTGATTGTTCATTCTTGTTGAATTGTATTACATGACTTTCCCTATCGAAATCGAAATTTCTTATATAACGATTACTTGAATCGATTTGATGTTTCGAAGCAAATACTGTGTCGCGTAGCCTTATCATCTACCACGATCGACATACTTATTCAACGTTACATGCGGTGTGACGTTTTTCTTTCTTCTTTACATACATAGGGGTATCATAATGTTCTCGTACATACTATTATTTACAAATCATTGTGCTATTTAGATTGACAACGGGCAATTATCGAGAGAGTAAGTGTTAGTGACATCTCATATTTATTACTGCATTTAGGGCGGGCAAAAATATCGATCGAGGTCGCTTAAAAATAGACGTCGTACGTAATTAATATACGCACACATCAAGGGACTCTAACATTACGGTATGCTCAAAGACATTTAATTATCACATATTTCGCTACGAATATATATATATATCTCGACATCGAGCGTTATTCTCTCGCGCCCTTTCCACTTTTACCTAAGTATCTAAATTTCAATACTTATTCGGTACTATGCTGGCCGTTCGAAAATCAAAAGTTCGTCGTTGTCGCCGTATATATAATATATATATATATTTATTATTTATATACGTCGTACAGCACCAATCGTTACAAGCAGCACCAATCATTAACGAACTGAACAATTGAAAATCTGAATATCCTCATTGTTACATAAATTAACATCTTAATCTCAAACTTAATAAAAATATTCAAATTTTTGTCAGATAAATAAGAAATTGTTGATTTCTACTGAGAAATCAGATTTATTGAATTCGAATAAATATTTATTTCAATATTGCCTGATAAATCATTTATTTGAAACTAATAATATATTGATTTGATGTGAAAAATATTTATTTGATATAAGAAAATTCTTTTCACAACACATAAATATTTTTTCTTCACATAAATATTTATTTGTTTCAAGTGAATGATTGATTAGGCAGTATTGAAATTAATTAATAAATATTTATTAATTTAATAATGTTTACATAATTAATATCAGATGTAAATGCTTCTTCGAATGCGAATCTTATATTAAATCGATTTAATTAATTTTCATTAAAGTATCGATTAGTGTGAAAATTAATGATCGATCTAAAATAATATCAAATACACGGATCTGTAATAAATAAATAAATAAATATTACTTCGACACGGTGAAGAAGAAATCAAGATTATTCGAGTTATTATACTCAAGCTACATGAACATCTTCTCAGTGTTAAATTGTACGATCGTTCAACTAATTATTTAATTAAAGTTATTTATCTAAACGTCTAGTTGCTGCTTGTGCGCACTATGAATAATTTATAATGTAGGAACCGTTCGAGTGCGATGATTAAATCTGCCTCGTGGCGACTTAATTGTGATTTTTACATATATGTATATTTCGTGCGTTTTTTTCTCATTATCTTTTTTTTCGCTCCGTTTTGTCTTTTCTCTGTCTTTTTTTTTTCTTCGGACCAAAGTCCGAAAGTTCAAGTTTGAGCTACGTTTGAGCTAGACTAGTGTTCAAAGCGGAAGTCGTTTTTCGAATTGACGCACTAGCCACGGAGTGAATATGATTACGTCGACAATGCCTTGCTAATTAATTAAAGTCAAGATTAATTCAATTGAAAGAAAAATATAGTATGTAGGAATTATATTCAAACAGGTACTTTCTCGCACTGCGTATATAATACTATTACCATAAATTATTCGAAAATACTCCTCCAGTGAGCTTTTTTCCTGACTAGATTATCCATGAAAACCCTTCGCGATGAGAAATGCGATGTTAAATAACAAAATTCGTGTGCACTCGAGAATTTGTGGGATAGAAGCTCTTTGAAATATCTTACGAGCTTATGAGCAACGTTATTTACGTCGATAAATGCTACGCCGTTTTACAATAGAAGAAAATGCATCTTGGTTTCGCGAAATAAATAACGTACATTCTTTCGGTAAAAGTATAAATGCAATAAATTATTTGTACTGCTAATTAACGTTCTCTCGCATTCAAAAATGTGTGTCCATTCGATCTTCATTTTCAATTCTTCCATTGTCATATACATACATGCAGATGTGAGCATATATGCAGGAAATATATGATTATTGTCGGAAAAGTAAGGTTTTGCTAGAAATTTTTTTTACACGTAATGCAATCTGAATGCACATGAATTTTTTCTGCCATCTACAACACAACGATAAAATTCTCTTGTAAAATTCTCACAAGAGGGAACCATAATAATATTAAATACTGAACAGTAATTGTCATTCTCGACAAAAAGCGATTACGAGCTTTTCCTCCTCTACGCGCGATCAAAGTTTGTGAGTTTACTTTTTAAAACCATTTTCTTTTGCTTGAAAAACCATCAAAATGCATGATTTGCATATACGAATGTAATCGCCGCTAATTTGTTTTAAATTATACACAAATCACACGCAGCTCTCTCAATTATCGAATTGCAATTTTTCGTTTTAGATCCATCGATTGTTCTCCCAACTATATAGACTTTTATGGTGAATTTGTGATTAGTTTTCATTTATTAGTAAATTTTTTGTAAGGATTTAAATATTTATACGTCTCACATGTTCATATAATTTAGTTTAATTAAAACTTTCATCGCACGCGAGGTGAACCTAATCAAAACTAAATTTTATTTGTGAAACTTAATTTTAGATTTCTTTAATTTTTGATACCGATTAATATCGAAGTAATCGATTATTTGGTCTTTTAAAATATATATAGTTGGGAAATTATTTGCGATAATTCTATGTAATTTCATATTGTATATCCTCATCCTGTATTTAAATAGCAAAGGTGATTTTAATTTTAATCGGATACGTCTTTCAATGTATCGAAACGAAATTTTGCAAATCAAATACTTGAAGAGAGCGGCTAGAATCGAGTTCTCCTAAATAACAAATCGCGCTTTATTCTCACAATATGTGTCGCACAATTCTCCTCTACACTCAACAAGCTTCTCAAACGTTTACGAGCATCCCAAATTCTTGTCCTCATACAATCATAAAATATCAAGCGACCTCACCAGCCTTGTCATGGCTATTTCGAAATTATCTCTCGTAATTTATTATTTGAAAAAAAAAAAAAAAAAACCGTATAGAAACATTATTTTGGAAGATTCGACAATTAGGCACGTAAACTGCCCTCTGACAAAAAAACACCCCTAACGCGATGCTGATTTGCAAAAAGAATTTCCTGGCGCGTCTCGATAAAAAAAAAGAAGCGAAAACTCACTTTGCGTCGTATATCGCTTCTCTGCGCAAAGTATCTCCCGACGAAGAAGAATCTTCTTCGATACCTTTTTCTTAGGACGCGCGATAAAACGAGGTGTCCGTTCAACGTTCGCTCCCGACCTTATCTCGGCGTCGTTTGTCTCTTTACACTTTGGAAGAATCGGAAAAATCGTTTGTAGAATATTGAGCAACGTGTGTCGGGCGGACACTCCCTCGCAACCGCCGGAAGAGCCTCTTGATCCTTTATCCCCGGTGCGAGCCGCCTGCTTCTCAGGTGTTCGGCTGGCTCTGCGAACGCGTGAGGTCCTGCTCGCGCCAGGAATTGGTCGTGCAGACACCATCGCCTCGCCACCACTCGTTCACGTCCTTGTAATACTTGGGCGCCCGGTCGTGATCGTGCAGCATCGCGCAGACCCGGCACCAGAAGTACGTGTTGATGAACTCACCGGTGCCCTTCCAGCGGAAGTACGAGTTGTACAGCTCGTCGTCGCGGTCCAACCGGTGCAGGTACTCGGCGAGCTCCTTCGGCGACTGGAACTCGTCCACGTGGATGTAGGAACGATAGGGAGCGCTGCGCGCGTAATCCGTGGGGTGGGCGCCCATCACGATGGGCAACACGTTGTGCCTGGAAAAAAACAATTGTCATCATTTCATCCGCGAGAGAAAAGCCTCGTCATCTTAGGGTCAGGCTTAAGGGGATCCTAACTCTCTGCGCGAAATTGGATTCGACCATGAAGTTTTTATTGCAGGGATTGCATTTTATATATCCGGATTTTTTCACATTATTCTACATTTGTCTCAATAATTTGAAATTTTTTTATTAAATAAATATAAACTTTTCCAGCACGCTAATTTTCTGGGTTAAAAATCGATTCATCTACAGCGTGTTCGTTAATTTATAATTTATATTTTAAATTTGATATAATATAAATAAAAAAGGTGATTATTTAAATAGTTTATATTAAATTGACACGTTTGTTTCGATTATCGTAATGCAGATTGTATAATTGAATAAGATTTTTGTTTTTTTAACTTTCGAACCTTTTCATTGTTGAAACAAAAATATCTCAAGGATTTCATGATTTAACATTTAATTGATTAATCATATAGATATATGCAAATGATATATTTGGAAAAAATAATACTGAAAAGCCAGGGAAAAAATTAATTTCTGGTCTTGGAAAATCTGAAAAATCAGGGAAAAGTCTGGACACCCTGTATTAATACCTAATTACGGAAAAAGATTTATTAATAGAAATATTGGCACTTAAATTTATATGAGTTCAAATACCAATATTTTGATTGACTAGACAGATTGATAAATCCTTTTCCACAAATAAAGTATTAATATTAACAAACGAGGGAGCGTTATAATTTCAGGTAAAAAAAAACAAAGTTAAAAAATTACATTTTTGTCAAATTATAGCGTTCACAATTCGTTTTATTATTAGTAGTTTAATTGTGGAAAAGGATTGTTCAATCTGTATAGCCAATAAAAAGATTCATGGTCGAATCCAACTTTACGAGAGATCCTAAACACCATCCCGTTTTATGAAACATAATTTTTACGCACCCTTTTCTTTTTCTTGGTCGAACAGAATAATAAATGCTTTTCCGCGATTAAAGTACATTAATAGAAACAAAGCGCAAACCTACCAATTTTAAAAACAAAATCTCTAAAAAAATTAAAACATCAAAAACTTATTTTTGTTTTTAAAGAATGAAAAATTGTTTGTTTGTTTCTATCCGTTATGCGAGTAGATTAGGTAACGCGACTTGGCACGCGACCACCTTATTCGAGAAACACGCGATGTCGCAGAAGTTGGCAAAGGTCACTGACGTCTGGGTGAAATGATCGAGCATTCGGTCGGCCAAGTTGCGACTGAAAATTGATCGAGAAATCGAGAGAGGAAGAGCAACGAACAAACCAAAACACCGCTCTAGACGTACCCGAGTCCGTTGACGAAGAACTTCTCCGTGATGTAGTCCTTGCAGTTGGAGTTCTCGAACGCGAGATAGAATTTATAATCCTCGTCGAGCATGTCGAAGCAGGTTTGCGACTGCGACCGCGGACAGCGTAGACTGCCGCACGCTCCGTAAATGTCTACCTGGATGTATTTCGAGAGTTCCCTGGCATAATGCATGCGCTGATTTCGGGGATGGCAGTTGGAAACGAACCAGGCGACCTGATTAAACAGCGATGCAGAAAAGAACGAATATATCACATGCAAATAGTGTTTACCTCGCGAGAGCGAGAATAACATATTATACATAGTATACGAGCCGAGAAAGTACACGGAGAGAATTTTCTCTTAGAATTTACCCTGAAAATCATGCGACAATATGGTATTGGAAGAATCTTATAAGAGTTTCTCTGATTAATATTTTTATAATATTTTTAAATGCCATGATTTTCTGGGGAAATTCTAAGAGAAAATTCTCTCTGTGTAGAGAAAATATTAATAGGATCTAAAGAGAAGGTCTCAACAATTTTGCCTACCTCTTCCGCGTCTTTATCTTTCTCAAGAAAATTTTTATTTAATTATAATTTTATTTAATTATAATTACAATTTTTATTCAATATCTATTTAAAACTAAAATATATAAATTAAATAATTAAAACTAAAATAATTTTATATTGTATTTAACTTTATATATCTATGTTTGTATTTTTAATAGAGAATTAATACAGTTATTGATTTTGAAGACAAATTCTTCGAATCTGAATTTTCCCAAAAAAGAAATAAATTCCAATAAATAATATTATTCAAACTGATATAATTGATAGAAAGACAGTTTCTAATATCAGTATACATTTTTAGTTTAAATGTGCAGTTAAACGTTGAAGACTACAAATAATATACATGTATATTTTAGTACCTTTCTTTTTATTAGTCGATTTGGTCTCGTTTTAGTTCATAAATAAATAAAATTGAATTTCAGCTAAGAGTTAAAGACCAAAAATAAAATAATATAAAAATATATAAAATGATATATTGAATATATTTTCGATTTTAGATTGATTGAAGAGTAACATGTATGTTAGTACTTATCTTTTTAGCAAATTAATTTCGCTCTAGGTTATAAATAATGAAAATAAAGTTAAATACATGAAAATTGCACGAATTTTGATTTCTATTTATAAAATATTTCGTCGTTTATTAATACGCTTATTCTACAAAAATAGAAAAATGCTATATGTCACTGACAATAAGAAATTATTTAAATTCGCAGACAATTGAATTGTATTTATAAATATCCTCTCAATTAACTAAATGAATTGTCTTACCTTTTTCGTTTTGTTCGCTGCATAATTAAACGTTTGTGGAATTTGTGTGATACTGGAATCATAATACTGCCACCTCTCATAAGGTGCCACTATGTCGCTGTCACGTCGATACGTGGCGGTCCAATTGATAAGGGCATTTTTGACGCTTTGCGTGTGATAAGGACATTCTAAAAAATACAGCATCCACACCTGCCAAAAATCGCAGAATTTTTATTTGTCAAAAACATGAATCTTGACACGTGATACGCGTGAAATTACGACTTTACGATGGGATCGATCCGGAACGAAGCGAAAGTGACATTTTCTCTCGAGCGACAAAAATCGATACCTGATTATTAGATCTTCGTCCCACGTGCGTGATGTAATCCTTAAATAGAATGAGATCGGCGCTGTCCGGATTATCACGGACGATTGTGCAGGTATTTACCGGGCAGCGTTGCTGGAAGAAAATGTCAGGACCGACTTTGGCTTCGGCCATTCCGTGAGGAATCATTATCTTCTTCAGCGGATGCTCGCTGCCTGTTCTGTTGTAATCGGGTGGCACAAACATCAACTGCAAAAATATTCAAAGACATTAATATATGTATTTTTTTCGAGAACTTTAGGTTTTAAACAAATCTGCGAAACTTGTCAAAAAAATAAATAATTAAATAGAATATTTAAATATCTTTGTTAAATTCGACGATACAAACATTTCAATATCATAATACGATTAAACTCTTGACGTTAATTATAATATGCAAAAAATGAAAAAAAATATATATATATATTATAAAATTACATCTAAAAAATATTAATGACATTGATTAAAAAATATTCATATTGTTCGCATTTTAGAGAGTCATTTAAATTTTGTTTCTTACATCTTTTGGGATCTTTAACAGAGATATTCAAAAATGTATGATTCTATTTCTCGTAATTATCAATCTATATAATGTAAAATGTTTCAACGAAATTCTATCTACATTCTGAACTCCTAATTGCGATAATTACCTGATTCGTCACACGATCATCGTAAGCATTTTCCTCTGGCCACAATTGAGCTAATCTTCGGCCAGTATTGCGAGCTTTTCTTGCCGGAAAAGGCCTTCTGGTCCCTCCTTTCATGTACCAAGGCCTTCGCGTTGGATCCAAGTCTATTGAGTTTTCGCCCAAACTGATGGATCCATTTACATTCAATGCCTTTGAATGAAAAAGAAATATTATGCGTATATATATTTAAAGATCGCAAGATTATCTTCTCCAATCTTTCTAGCTTATGTAAAGATTGGAAAAGATAATCTTCGTAGTGCATTATCATTCTCTGCTACTAAGAAAATTACTACCGAGAGAGCGACACTATCATCTTTTGCTCTTAAGCTGGAGAATTTTAGCAACAATATTGCAACAATATTCAAAAATTTTACAGTGAAGAAATATGATATTAATGATATAATTGCAAATGTGATCTAATTTATACATTATAATTTTTGTTATCTATAATACAATGTTTAAATAATCGCGTGCAACTTATTTAAAGAATTTTTTATACACACTATATTTTTGTAAAATTTAATTTAATTAATTTACACAAAGATTACATATCATAATCACATAGATTATATATTTTAATTAATTTAATTTATTTAATTAATTTGAATAAGTTTTAAATATATACATTTCTTACGTTACTTTCATCAGCAAACATAAAAATTCATGCGATTAATTAAGTGTTAACTGTCTCTAAATATGATATATAGTGTGCGTGCGTGAGTACAAAAGCATCTTTCACTTTGATATATTTTGACATATAAATTTCTACAAGATGCTATAAGTGACAAAAGTGTTGAGGCAGCTTTTTCACAATTGATATATGTGGATGATTAAAAAATAGATTAATATACTGCAGGCAGCTAAACTATTAAGCCACACTAACGAATAATTTATTACAAGTATGAGTTTTTATTCGAGGTTTCTATTGTCATTATTTTACGAGTATTAACTAATTATACAACTTTTTAATTACACAAATATTGAAATACTGAACGAAATAAGTTTTCAACAAACTATTGGAAGGTTCCAAATAATTTTTGTCGGATTCTGTAGAAAATATAATATATGCAAATTTTTGTACACTTGGTGTACAATAAGTATATGATAAATATATGATAAACAATGATATTAGCGCTATAAATGGCCAGACGAAAAAGAGGAAGCCACTAAATTTGTAAAGAAAACGTACGCACTATGTTTTATAAGACGCAAGAACAAGCGAGACGACACACGGAAAAAGTGACACATATATTAAAGATATAATATTATTTAAGTATTTTTGTTTATCTTTTGGAAATTTTGATTAATACATTTTCGCAAAAAATACGATAAGTCAATATCGATATCCTATTTTTAAAATGTTTTCCCGTGTACTCTTGTCATTTGAAGATTAATTAACGCGCTACAATTTAATGACTGTACCTCGGACGGAAGTCTTTTCTTCACTCGCTCCCGAGTGCGTAATACTCGCATCGTCGGCTTCTTCGATTTCGAAGGCCAATCGGGTTTCATCTGCGAGCGAAATTTGTTTTATTTCTTAATCTGTGATTTAATTCGTGTGCGTAGCCATTTTATCGCGTGATCTCTATCTCGCGATAACAATAATCTCAATTACAAGTTTGCAGAATTAATCTCAAGAAAAATTTATTCATTTATTCATTTTTACCATCATCGTTATTATCGAGCGATAAGTGAAACATATTTATTTTATATATAACACATTTCTATCCAATATCATAATTAATTTATTGATCAATCGTTTCGATAACATTTAATAACGTGTGACTTATCGTCTCTTTCCCGGAATAATATCGATCTGTTGATACAATTATAATTGCCGCTGCAGATAAACGCTTAAACGAGCAAACTACTACACAGAGAAAATTTCTTCTTAGAATTTACCCTGAAAATTATGATAATCGTGGAACAATATAATATTGGAATTATTTTATAAAAGCTTCTCTGTTTAATATTTACTACAATCAAAAATAATATCTATCACAATAAGGTATAAAATATGTTCCATTAATTTTATTATGCACATATTGATATTTTTCGTTTTTATCTATATATATATTTTTTTTATTTTATAAGATATATTTTAATATTAATATATTTAACATTAATATTATATAATAATATTGGAATTATTTAATAAGAGCTTCTCTTGTTCAATATTTATCACAATAAGATATAAAACATGTTCGATTAATTTTATTATGTACATATTGATATTTTTATTTTTATCTATATATATATTTTTTATTTTATAAGATATATTTTAATATTAATATATTTAACATTAATATTATATAATAATATTGGAATTATTTAATAAGAGCTTCTCTGCTTAATATTTACCACAATAAAAAATAATATCTATCACAATAAGATATAAAACATGTTCGATTAATTTTACTATGTACATATTGATATTTTTATTTGTTCTCAGAGGAATTCTTACAAAATTCTACCATAATTATCCCACAATGATTATCAAGATTTTCGAAATAAATTCCAAGCAAATTCTCCGTGCGCAGAGAGCACAAAATAATATATACACATAAATTCCTCTCGCGGCGGAAGTATACCACATACGGTCGGATAATAAAATAATGATTTCTCTCTCTCGCGATATCACAGATCGCCGCGTGCCTAATTAATGAATAACGAGTGCTCGAACGTACCTTCAGCCCGTCGCCGGCAGCTCGAACGGACTGCGGCTGACCAGGGGGATGCGGTCGTATGCTGTGCCATATCTCGTCCTGCAGCGAATTCAGTAGGACAAGCAGCGAGCCAGTCAGACATAGCGCGTAGAAAAAGTATCTCTTTAGGGAGATACGCGGCAGCAGACCCATGCCGCCCGGTTTCCCTAGCTGGACGAGACCTTTATCTAGCCATGCGCCAGTTTGCCTCACGACATTCGGCAACGCTATAACACACAATGAATAATTAATGAGAGACCACTTTGATATGCCTGCTGTGAAGGCGTTTGCTCTTTATGCTGGAATGGCTTTATTGATGGATTTCATATTGCAAATTACATGTTTCGTCAGTCTCTTAGCACTTGATACAATTCGGCATGCGAACAACAGGCTGGATGTATGTTGCTTTATTCGTTCCAAGTGTGATGATGGAGAAGAAGTGGTAGATGGAGTATTGTATAAAATTTTCGAAGTTGCATATGTTCCATTATTATTGCAAAAATGGGTTCGTGCGACTGTAATGATTGTGTTCTTTGGTTGGCTCTGCAGCAGCATCGCTGTAATACCACACATCGAAATTGGCCTAGATCAAGAGCTCTCTATGCCCGAAGACAGTTTTGTATTCAAGTATTTCAAGTTCTTGAATAATTATTTATCCATTGGACCGCCGATGTATTTTGTTGTTAAAGATGGCCTAAATTATTCGGATACCAGAGTACAAAATTTAGTCTGTGGTGGGCAATATTGTAACAGCGATTCGGTGTCGACTCAAATATTTACAGCGTCCAAACAATTAAATAGAACTTATATAGCTAAACCTGCTTCATCTTGGATGGAATTAATGAGAGACCGATTGGTATACAGATACGATAGATGTCGAAAGCATTAATTGAAAATATATAATATTTTGCAGACATCAAAACATTTTAATCTCTTTCCTGTGAATTAACACTGTTCATTAATATAATATATATTTTAATGCATTAATCGATTTTTTGTACGGTTCTTTTTAAAAAAAAAAAATATATATATTAAATTTATTATTTAATAATAAATTTAATATATATATTTTTTTATTAAACATTTAAATTTTTTATGTAAAAAAGAACCGTACAAAAAGTCGATTAATGCATTAAAATATATATGGACATTTAAATATTCACTTCAATTAAAATTTGTAACGAATAGCAAATATATAAGAAGAATATAGAATGTTATTTTATTTTATTTTATTTTATCGAATATTTGTTTCAGGATATAACCTGTTCCAATTTCGTGAGAATTTATTCAACCTACATATTTCTTGTGGTCTAGAATAAGATATAGATTATGAATTATGCCATTATCTCATTACTTATCTCCTTACAATATTCTGACATAATTTAAATTTAGAGGAAATTCCATTGAAAAGAGATATGTTGTCAAAAGTTAAATATAAGTATTTTATTGGAATATTATAGATGAATGTTATATTTGAATTTTATCTGTATGTAATTATTTTAAGTGTTAGAGAGAGCAATTATAGGTATATAAAATTTTAAAGAGATTTAAATTTAGAATTGTGTTTTATTGAATATAACAAAAAATAGAAAATTTGAAACGACTAATGGTTGATTTTTTCGACGAATTACATATAACACAATTTATTTATACATCTACATAAACTCACATAAATATGCATATCAAAAGTTATTTATACAAACGATACGTTATCTGAATAGAGCATTGGTGAAGAGTTTGATAAGATTTGCTTAACCTTGCTTTCTCAACTTCCGGAACGCTTTGCCAACATTTTGTAATGACGTGACATAATAATTATCACTTTTAAAATTCTTTATACTAAAATAATTCATAATTATATTGTCGTCAAACGAGCTTTTAAGCATTTTCTTATTCTAACGTATGTTAGAATAAGAAATGAAACAGCGTAACTTGATAAATTACGTCAGAATTCCTGCTTGAAATTAATGCTGAAAATCATCAGCGGAAATTTGTATTACAAAAAAAAAAAAATATATAAAAAGTGATTACATTACGTTTAATTGGATGGCATTTGATGAAATGAAAAGATATCGCGATGAGAAAGACACACGATCCGTGAATTGCGCACGCGAAGCGGAAACGTCCTTGCGATCTATCGACATAACTCCCTCTCGTCAGATTCATTCGTTATATCGGAAGAATTCTGCTGGAAGAGCTCGATATCATTAAATTAATTACATCGCAAGATATATCGTTCGCCATCTAACTGCATCGTTGCACGTCGTATAATTGATGTGACACGCAAACATTGATTTATATCCGAATCAATAATACCTACATTTGAACAAAATATATATTCGATCGAAATACCATATATAATATATTTGCACGCGAATAATCTGACATCTGCATTATATATATAGTTTCGTGTGAGGAAAATTGATCAAAATTACGTGCGTCAATATTGCCACTAAATGCGCAATTATTAGATATTATCATGGCATTTTGCAGATTACGGATTACAAATTATTGTATGCGATGTTTCCTAAGCTCCATTTTACGTCAGAGCTTTAGTTTTTTAATATCTCGATTGTTTAACAAGTTTTTCTACCTACAAAACATTTGATGAAATATGATTTCGCCTAATCCTCATTATTGTTCAAATATTATTCTTCGGATGTATACATATATTTATTACAAATTATGATATTTAGAATGAACGTCCAAAAAGCTGTGTTTGTAAATATTTTTTTATGAGAAAATAATTATTATACACACGGAGAGAATTTTCTCTTAAAATTTATAATTAGAAGAATTTTATAAGAGTATCTGATAAATATTTACCGCAATAACAAATATTAATATGTACATAATAAATTTAAATAAAACATATTTTATATCATATAACATATATTATTTTTTAAAAATAATTTCCGTATATCGACAGTGAAATAAAATTACAAGGTAATATTAAAAACGACCCAAATGTCAAAAATAATCTTTATTCTGATGATGTCAGACGACGTTTCGACCCTTGGTTTAGATCCTTTTCAAGTCTTAAAATAATGAATTTAAAACAAATTAAACTTAAAATTAATATTCGCAAATTGAAGACAAATAAATCGCAACGTACTTCAAATATATGAAAAATCAGACTTATGATATTAAGATGTCTAATAAAACGTTGTTGATAAGCCTAATGACATGGCAGATAATGAGAAGGGAGCGGTATCAAACTACGTTTAAAATATTATCCACAGATTAGATTTAAATTTTCCATATCTTTTTGTAAATTGATCGTGTTATTGTTTTTTTTTTATAAAAACCATTTGAAGGATTTCTCTCTTTCTCTTATGTTTTTCACAGTACAAAATTTTTATGATGTCTAATAAAACAACGTTTTAAAATTTTGTACTGTGAAAAACATAAGAGAAAGAGAAAAATCTTTGAAATGTTTTTTATTAAAAAAACAATAACACGATCAATTTACAAAGAGATACAAAAATATTTAAATTCTATCTGTGGACAATATTATTAAAGTCGTTTGATACCGCTTTCTTCCTCATTATCTGTCATGTCACCGGACTTGTCAACAACGTTTTATTAGACATTTTATTAGACGTAATAAAACAATGTTTTATGAGATGTCTTAACATCATAAGTCTGATTTTTCAAATGATATTTGAGGTACGTTGCGATTTATTTGTCTTTAATTTGCGAATATTAATTTTAAGTTTAACATGTTTTAAATTCATTATTTTAAGACTTAAAGAGGACCTAAACCAAGGATCGAAACATCGTCTATGTGACATTATCAGAATAAAGATTATTTTTTGACAATTGGGTCGTTTATAATATTACCTTGTAATTAATACTTTTATTTCATAAAGTCATACAAACTTTTATAAAACTCTTCCAAAACCATATTGTCCCACGATTTCAGGATAAATTCTAAGAGAAAATTCTCTCTATGTATGTATCTTTTAAAATATCATACCTTTTTCATATCACACATCACACCCTTCTGAGCCACGTGTACGTTACGATTGACATTATAATATCTTTTATTAGCACTTCTCATATATAATTCTATATTCCACATTATTTATAATTATCTTTCTTTTCCTTCCTCTATTTATTGATTTTGTTCTAGTTCATTTAAATAACGCGATGAAATGTAGCTCTGCAATTTGATTCGCGCACTTTAACAACATCATTTAGTCCTCGTTTACTCCAGGTTTAGTCTTCTTCATCCATCTAAATTTGCAAGAGCAACGTTCGCGGTTACGCGAATGTGAAAGGTTACAGCATTCAATGTGTACTTTGTGTATACCAAGTACACATACGAGTGTCTACAAGGTGTTTCAGCAGAAATGATCAGCATTCTATATGACATAATTGTACCTACCTATAATTTTAAGCAAGAAAATATATATAAACATGTGTCTTATTCCGAACGATTATAAAAATACAGCGTGTTCAATCTTAATAGAATCAAATTCAATTACATTAAATTTCACAGCTTATAATAAATTTGAATAATTAATAATAATTAATAACTAATAACATCAATTAATAACAATTTTGGTATAAATGATACGAGGCATTTTAGTTACACCAAAGACTAAAAATTTCAAACTAACACATGACTTATCAAATGTGACTTAATATTTAAATTCGTCATCGTAATAACAAAAAGCGACAATTTAATGTAATTGTTTCATAACATTTTCCAAGTGGCAAACTGACGTCACTAATTTTTTTCACTTACTTTTTAACACATTGTCTCTTTATATAATCTTTATAATAATGCAGAATAAGACATACGTTTATATAAATATGTCAAATTAACAAATATTTAGTTCCATACTGTCAACTGAATCATTAATTTGAAACAAATAAATATTTATTTGTTTTCTTATATCAAATAAATATTTGTCATATCAAAATAAATATTATAATTTCAAATAAATGTTTTATTTGACAGTATTGAAATAAATACTTATAAGAATGAACAAAATTTTTGCTCAGTGTAACCATGTCCTAGAATACTTGATCGTTCCTCCTGAAACACCTTGTATATTCGGACAGCCGTTTACACTTACAAACACTCGCGTAAGTTCGCGCCCGACAGCCACGAGGCGCGAAATGTTTCGGAAAATGAAGGACATCCTAGAAGATGTTCCTTGAGAGAACTGTCTCACGCTTAGTCGCTCGATAGTTCGAACGAATCATCCTGCCGGGCGGCTGCTCGTGAAAAGGTGAACCTGGATCTCCGCGTTGCGACACGCTTTCATGCCTCTATACCTTTGAACCGCGAGATAAAGTTCACGTTCACCAGAACGCCGAGCGTTACATATGTATACCTGCCTAGCTTGAGTGAAAAGTTTTAGCCCATATATATATATATATATATATATATATATATATATATATATAGTATATGTAGTCTTTTATTTTATATTTTACATATACGTCGGTTTCCCTATTTTGTCAGTACACATAGAGAGAATTTTCTCTTAGAATTTACCCTGAAAATCATCGTGAGACAATATGGTATATTGGAAGTTTTATTTAGAGTTTTTCTGATTTACCACGATATTTAGAATTTTCTCTTAGAATTTTGCTTGAAAATCATGGTAATCGTGGGAAAATATGATATTGGAAGAATCTTAGAGTTTCTCTGATTAATGTTTACTACAATAAAAAATATTAATATGTACATAGTAAAATTAATCGAACATATTTTATATCTTATTATGATAGATATTAATATTTTTATTGTGGTAAATATTAATTAGAGAAACTCTTATAAAATTTTTTCAGTATTATATTGTCTTAGATTACTATGATTTTCAGAGTAAATTCTAAGAGAAAATTCTCTCTGTGCACAATAAGATACATAATATGTTCGGTTAATTTTAGTATGTACACAGTATAAAATTTACTATTTTTTAAATTTAATATTTAATCTAATTTATATTTTTATTGTGCTAAATATTAATCAGAGAACTCTTATAAAATTCTTCCAGTATCACCATATTATCCCACGATTTTCAGAGTAAATTCTAAAAGGAAATTCTCTCCATGTAGTGTTTTAATTTATAGTAGAGCTAATAAGATTGTCATTGCCAATTTCAGATTTTTCTTTTTTTTTTTTTTTTAATTTGCTAGACTTTTACAATTTGAGGAATATTAACGAAGAGATAATTGTCGTGTTCATAAACAAGAAATATGATACGAATTCGATATTCGGTAGAATTCTCGTAACAAACATCGTTAAAATTAATTAAACTAATTCAACATTAATTAAAATAATGTTAATAAAAGCCAGTACATCTACGCGAGATGAATGATTGGTTGGATGTTTTTGTAATTCTCAAGAGGATTCGACTTCACCGAATCAAAAGCATAAATAATGTAAACTTGTACATTCTTTCCCTCTCTTTATCTCTTTCTCTCTCCATTGGGAACTATATTTTATCACATTAAACTCGCTCTTTTCCACATGAAAATTACGTTCGCAATTCAATCTTTAAATATTCACATTGCACTTTAACTCATAAAAATTGATCGACTTTGCACCACAAATTTGTTTACGCGCAGAGGCGACCAGGAATTTCGGGAATTACCTGCAGAATTTCGTCTGCCAAGTTTCTCAAACATGGTGACACTTTCTCTCGCGAAATCTTTTTTTTTCTTCAGTTAACGCGTTCAACTTTTCACGTCAAACTTCGTGATATAAATCCGTTTAAAATGAAGTGCCCATCTGCTTCACGCGAAGCCGAAGATTCCGCGTGTCCAGATATCAGGATTTTTCTGGTCACGTTCTTTTCGCACGCCGGTGTTAAATTCTGCGCTAATGTTGCCGCAAACTTGTGTACTGGCGAACGGTTCGAGTACTACTGCGTCTATCGGCGAGCTGTCGAGCTCTTATTATCTCTCTATCTTATCACTTACCTCTCTAACATATAATATACATATTCCGTATAAGAAAAAAAAATATCGATTACATCTTTAATATTATATTATGTACTTCTTCTTCAAGATATTAAATTGCCCTTCTCGAAATCGAGCTGTAAATCTAAAGTATGACGAATCACTTAAATAGCGGTATGAATTTCATTTTGAACTATCTCGATATCGCGTTTTCCATTCATAGTAATATTTCTCTTTTTTATGATGTTCAATATCGCGATGAATCTTGCACGAGCCGCGTGTAATAATTTTTCAAATGTCGCACACTTGTCAGTTTGATCAATCGAGAAATATCTCCACTAATTTTTTCCATTAATTTTATATGAAATTTCGACTCTCTTATCGCGGTGGTACACTGTAAAAAATATGTAAAATTACATAAATAATAGCAATTATTAGTGAAAATTTAGTGAAGATAATTAGTGAAAATGTATACATTTTCATTATTTGTTGTAATTTTACATTTATTATTTATGTAATTTTATATATATTTTTATGTAATATACATTTTTTACAACGTTTAATACCGTAATTTCGCACTCTTGTCAGTTTGATTAATCGAAAAATATCTCCACTAATTTTTTTCTATTAATTTTATATATGAAATTTTGACTCTTATCGCGGTGGTACACTGTAAAATAATAATAATTATTATTTGTTATTGTTAAATGTGAAATTACACGATAATTAGTGAAAATGTATACATTTTCATTATTTATGGTGTAATTTTACATTTATTAAGAATAAATGTAAAATTACACGATAATTAGTGAAAATGTATACATTTTCATTATTTATGGTGTAATTTTACATTTATTCTTTATGTAATTTTATATATATTTTTATGTAATACACATTTTTTACAACGTTTAATATCGTAATTTCGCACGGCGATCGATCTAGAATCGTAGATCACAAATGCGTCGATCAGACTCAAGAACGTACGAAGAACTCGAGCACATTCTGTCGACAAATCAAAATATATACATCGCTATCATATACACGCATACTTCGATGATTAGCACGATAGTTCATTCTTCGTCGACCTAATCTCGGCGATTACGTCGAAATCGAAAACCTCGGTGAAGCAACAATGTTGAAATCGCTAATTAAATGACGCACCACAAATGTTGTTAATTCTCAGTTTTTATAATTATTATACATAATCGCAATTTTTTTTAACATTTGCATAGTTGTCCGTCGATGCTGCAGATATTTTACTTTGTAATTTTCTCTGTCAGTTTCCGAGGAAAGAAGGGGGAATTTATTAAATATTAATGCGACTCTCTATAAAGTGTCAGTTCATATCGGATCGAGATTGAAATGATAAACGTTTATTTCATTCTGCGTCTCTATATTTAGCATCGCCCGCGAGTTATTTTTGAGCCAGAAGACTCAATTTTTGATTGGCGAATGGAACATAAATCGATCCCAATCGAATATACATGGCAAATTTATCCTGCAATCCGATTCTGTCGGATTAACTTAAATATTCTACTTATTACATATCCGAAACAACAATATTGATCTCGAAAAATCAACATGTTAAAGCGACGTTATTGAGAATAATTCTAATCACAGTACTCGATAAGATAATTATATATGTATCTACATACTGAAAAAAATTTATTGAATTGGAATGAATATTTAAATACTGCCTTATATAAATAATTTGTGAAAAACATTTATTTGATACAAGAATATTCTTTTCAAAACAGATAAATATTTATTTGTTTCAAATAAATTATTTATTTGGTAGTATTGAAATAAATATTTCAACTGTTTATTAAACGTTTTCTCTATATACAATAATAACATGTATATTATATACACTATTTTATTCTATAATAAAATAATTTCTAATAATAAAATTTCTCGTCAAAAAAATAAAGCTTTACGTCATAACATTGTGCAGCCCGATATAAAGCTTTGGTGTATTTTTGACGGTGACGATAAAAGTCTTCGACTTTAAGATCTAATGAAACGTGAGCACTTTATAGCTTCTCATTAATTCAGCTTGGATGTAACAGAGATCGAGAGCAATCGAGCGTTATTTCATGAAGATTTTCTATACATCCACGCGATTTTTTGTCTCTGCGAGAAAAGTCTCTGCGCAAAAATTTTATCAGTCTACGATTCTCGCCCTATCGGATAAATTTCGTGACAATTTCGATTTATTAAAATTATATTAATTATAAACGAAATTAACGTAATGAAAGTATAATTCCAGTCTTCTTCCTCCTTCGTTCACACGTTATTTAAAAACAAGTGCATAAAATAAAGGTTATCTTATAACAGCGTAATTTTTATTTAATATGAGTTTGCTTGCTTATTTATCAGAAATATTTAACGCCGTAAAATAATATTTATGAATAAATATATTTTGCTTATTTCGTTCATTATTTTATTCCATTCACATCGATTGTTTATTGAACCTTATTCCTCTTAAAAACAATGATAAATTATTAAATTAAGGCCATGTGTAACGAGCAATACGATATTATTTTATTATTGAGAAGAAAATTCTTAATTTAAAATAATAATTGTACAAACGTTTCGAGCTCTACTTGCTCCTCTTCAGTGCGCAAAAAAATAGTGATAATAAATAACGATAATAAATAAATACATAAAATTCTAATAAAAAATCCGCAATACATAGTCAATATAAGTTATATAGTTGAGTCATAGTTAAAACGCAAAATATATTTACAATGAATTGAGACCATTAAAATAGTTCAACAAAGTAAGAACCCAATTAGAAGCAGAATGATTCGTCCGGTTATTCATAAAATATATTAGAATTATTAATAAAAACTTGGAGTGACACTTATATATTGCTCCAAATGAACCACTTATTCCTCTTAATTTAACACTCTTTCACAACTTGCTATTGTCTCACGTAATGCGATTGTTATGCTTCCGCCATATATAAATGCATAAAAGATGAGCTTGTTAAATATAATATTGTGTGTTCACCGAGGCATATATATTGATCATTGATCGAGAACGCGATTCGCAAATCGACTGAGCATATAGATATGTTTTTGTCGAATATTCTTACATACAGAGAATTTTCCCGTAAAATTTACCCTGAAAATCATGATAATCCCAGGACAATATGATGTTGGAGAAACTTTATAAAAATTTTTCTAATTAATACTCACTACAATAAAAAATATTGATATCTATCACAATAAGATATTATCACAAGAAAATATTAGTTTAATTAATTTTATTATATACATAGTAAATTTATTGTGGTAAATATATTTCATTAATCAGAGAAGCTTTTATAAAAATTTTTCCGGCAATTTATCATAATTACAAAAAATATATTAATAAATAAAGACAGAGGGAATTTTCTCTTAGAATTTCCAATATGAATATTGGAAGAATTTTATAAGAGTTTTTCTGATTAATATTTACCACAATAAAAAATATTAATATCTACCACAATAAGATATAAAATATTAGTTTAATTAATTTTATTATATACATAGTAAATTTAATGTGGTAAATATATTTCATTAATCAGAGAAGTTTTTATAAAAATTTTTCAGGCAATTTATCATAATTACAAAAAATATATTAATAATAATAAAGACGATACACAGAGGGAATTTTCTCTTAGAATTTCCAATATGAATATTGGAAGAATTTTATAAGAGTTTTTCTGATAAATATTTATCAGAATAAAAAATATTATTAATTATGCACATACATAGTAAGAAGATTTTCTTTGTGTACTCGCGAATATATTTCACAAATTTTAATAACGATCCCGATAATACATCACCGTTTTCCTTTATATCACGATTCCGATAAAATTGGAAATAACAGATTTTGATTGCACTTACGCATATATAATGTCGAAGAAGAAAAATCAAGCACATGAGCCACCAGCAAACGTAACTCGTCTCTAAATGGCATCGAAAGTGTTTATTTAAATCGACCTATGCGGGCCGATAACGATAACAAAGAATAGTCACAAAATCGTTCACACGAGAAATTTCGCTATTTTTTCTAGTTTCACCAAACGCTAGCGAGTTTTCGTTTCCAACGAGAACTAAAACGAGAATCCCGACATAACAAATTTAATCGATCCATATTTAACTGATTTGAAATCAATAGAAAGCTGATATACATATGTGTGTTGGACGGTCTCTGTGATAAACGGAACAAGACAAGTTTATCAAACAGCGATGTGATAAAACTTGGAAATTAATTGAATACCTCTATGAACTGGAAATGAAACAGCAGCACGAAAATCATCATTGTCGAAATATATGTCAAAAGCAGATATCGAGTCGCACAAAACAAAGTAAAATTTAATTCTGCAAAGCTTTATCAATAATTGTAATAATAAATTGTTATTATGCACGAGAAATGCTCTTAAAAAGCATTTTAATAATAGTATTTGCTGTAAATTATATTACATTTTATTGAAATTGGCAAAAAATATATATTGCTCTTAAGTTAGTTTACCTTAAACCTATCAAAACATTCAATAAAAAGCTAAGCCTATTTATAGCAAGTGAATTATCTTTCAAAGCTATCGGTATGTGCATATTTGCATTATATGATATAGAGAAGCCTGTTCTTATCATAAACACATGCACGCATATAGGTAAAATTTGTTAAAAGAGAATTATGCACTCGGTTGACTTTTAACTTAAAAAAAAAAAAAATTAACGATCAAATATGTTGATCAATATATTTTTAGACAGAAATAATTGTGATTAAAATGCATCTATCATTATATGTCGATTATTATCAACGATCACATAAAAACTATACTCTCTATTTACTTATAATAAACTACACTTAATACAACCATTTGAAGTTGTCAAGTGGTCGCGTAATAACATATATAATACGTGGGCGTTACACTATCTCGTAAATAACTGTCAAGTGGTGAGATAAAGAACTGGTCTATAAAGCCTCGCGATAAAAAAGCAGCAGCCGGCGTGTCGCGTGAAAAAAAAATACGTACATCTATATATCTGTTATCTCCTTTTGTGATCGTACTCTTGTATAATTTATAAAAACAAAGAAGGAAGCAAAAATATACGGGATTGTCGTGTGGTAAACGTAGACAAATATTGTTCCGGCCATTAATTTAGCGAAAAAATGGTGTCGTCACGCCAACACGCGCGTGAATTGTCATCCGTATCCGATGAAAATTCACGCATAACAAATGTAACGGTCCGAAATCACGTAATATTGCATTGGCACATTTCTACACTGTCGCAAATTAAATGCCTAGATGACTTACTCCAGATTGATGACTGCGATACACGGAATTTTCTTTTAAAATTTATCCTGAAAATCATAAAAATAGTGGGACAATCTATGGTATTAGAAGAATTTTTATAAGAGTTCCTCTGATTAATATTTACCACAATAAAAAATATTAATATGTACATAA